TCAAAAAAAGTGTATTTTAAAGAATGTCAAAATATTATTAAAACATATTGATTTAAAGTGTCCTCTAAAGTAAAACATTTAATTGGACATTATCCTGCAGTTTACTTTTTAAAAGTGCACTTAAGTGTGTTAAGAAATAGTCGTGCACGTGTGTTGTCGCTTTAAGTTATCTTTTTATATCATTAACATTATATTATTTGCAAATGCAGTTTTTTTAAAAATAGATGCTTTTAAGATTTGAAGTACATTCAATACACTTAAGTGCATTTCTTTTTCACAAAGGCTCCCTTTAAGACCAGTGTTTGCAGTCATTTTAATATGCCATGGGATAAAATGCAGTGACCAAAGAACAAGACGGTCTTAAACGAGCTCCAGGTAATAGCTGTGTTTGCCGTAGAAGCAGTGATTATGAAGCCCTTTCAATATATATTTAACATGTCACTGCACACAGAAAGAAGCGAAAGAAAGTCTTGTTATCGTGAATCATTAGGATTCACCCGAAGCGTTGCGGCTGGCATGTAAAAGCTGCTTTTTTCCTCTGCTTTGTCTCGTTATTCTGACAGTCGGTGTCATAAAGTTTTCTCTTTTTTTTGTCTTTACAAGCTTCTCTTCCCTCATCCATTAAACCCATCTCTCTTCTCCAGATCGTTCTGCTTGATCGGACATAGAGAGCACAAAAGAGCCACAGTTGCATTGCTGCCGTAAGAGTAGATTTAGAAAGTGCCTGAATTTGCCTTGATGTTTTCCAGACTGTTTTCAATCAGCAGTTGCACCATATTTTATATAAGGTCCAAATAATCATTTTGCATTACATATAATGTGAAGTATGTGTGGTTCAGTTTTTCGAAGACTTTTAAAGTGTGCACTTATTTAATCACATTTGTATCATCAGAGCTTTCAAACCCCTTTAAGTTTAGGTAAGTGTAAATATTTTAGTGTATTGAACTGGAAAACATGAAAATCTGAAGTAAATTTATCATATAGGCTATAATATTTCACAAAGCAGCAACATATTGTGAAACAAAATTCAATTGCTTCCAGCTTAGCTTAGAAAATAGTCAATGCCATAACCTTTTGTGGGAACAAACAAGAAGAAGAAGGAAAAAAAAAGGATTTCTTAAAGAAAAAAGAAAAATCAAAGCTTTACTTATTTATCTGTTTATGGAAAATCTGTAATGAATAACAGCGATCATGCGCCGATTCGGTGTTGCTGGGTAGTTGATTTTGCATGCATGAGTTTTTAGAAAGAGTTGATTCAGAGCCACAAACTTTTTGACGTTTGGCCAGAAGTCACCACAGGCACAGGTTTTTCTTCACTTGCATCGCCCATTAACTCGCAAAATTACACCCAAAATTGACCATAATGACGAGTGCATATTTTATGCACAGGATGCACACCTCCACAAAAGATGCGACGTGTTTACAGTTTTCCTCATTGATATGATGTTTTGGTTCTAAGCCGCCTGAGCACAGTGTGAGGAATGGAAGTGTGTAATGTGAAGACAAAGGCTGTTTTAGAGCTGTTTGTTTTTGGGGAGCAGCAGGGGTGTGTATGCGGCTCGGGAGCTTTGCCAGACTGGAGGCCTGCGGCCGTCCTCTTGACCACTCATACCGGGTGCCTGGAGGCCAGAGAAATGTTCCCCTGATAACGCAGGCCCACCACAGAGCCTGTGTCCAAATCTGGGGTCTCTGAGAGCAGCACTGCCATATATTGTGAATGTGTGGTGATGCTGTGCATGTGAGACACACTGAATGCAACTGTGCATGTGATCTACTGTAGCTGTTATTCTGCTCATTTTTAATTTTTATTTTATAATTTTTTTTTTTATTATTATAATTGTTTTTTTTTGCTATAATGCTTAACCCTCTGGTGGTGCTTTTTAAAAAAAAAATGCAATTAAATAAATGCACTATATTTTAGTTTGTTAATGTTTTTTACTTAATATTTAGTATTTTTTGTTGATTTTATGGTGCTAAATTATATTCACTGAATGGTTATGATCCATACTTGTTAACCACTTTTTGAGCATAGACCTTGAATGCATATAATCTTGAATGCTTTGGAGCATAGACTTACGTTTAGTCTCTATTTAAAGAAGACTCTTGAAGAAAGTTCTAAAACATTTTTTTTTATGAATTATATATTTTCTAAAACATGGTAAATCTGCATGAAAGTCAAACGCATAAATCTAAAGAAGTAGCATTCCAAATTTGAGGTTGGTATCTCAAAAAATTAGCTTTCAGTAAGATTTTGTTTGGGCGCAGTACCAAACATTTCCACAAAATGAAAATAATTTCCTACTCATTTCCAATGCAGTGATTTTTGACTGTGAACAACAGTTATTTTTTCAACAAGTTTTTTTTTTCAGGACCATTTAACCTTTTCAAATAATGTCCAAATATTTTTTTATGTGTGTGTGTTCACATAGCAAATGCCAGAACATTTATCAAGTTTGTATCATTCTAATAAAGTAAAAATGTCTTAAAAAAAATAACAATTTTGGTCAAAAATGACCGAACAGCACCAGAGAGTTCATGATATCTTCTTTATGTAAGCAATAAGGTATGAGAGGCCATGCTTACAGAGTAAAATGATGGATGTATATACCATAAATGAAACATAAAACTAATACAGTAATATTCCCAACACACTTCGGAAACGGTGGACTTCTTCCACACAGACACATGCACACGTTTTGCTGAAATACACACTACATGGAACAGTTTCGAGGTGATATTATTGATTGTTTATGTTGCTAAGGGTGATACACAGCTGTGCTCCAATCAGAATCAAGGACTGGTGTTAAACTTCATTAAAGAAACAGTCAAAGCATAGTTTAAGTCGATCCGAGTATATGAGTTCATTTTGAAATCTCTGATGTTTAATTGCAGACTTGACTAATCTAAGTACGGTTTGAGACATTATTGCAATCTCTCCTGAAACTGTATAGAAGATATGTGAGACTCCTGTAGCACTTTGTTTGCCGAAGAAAAATCTGAAAAGCTGGAATTTTCAGCAAGTCTCAATTTCTTCTCTCTTTAATTGAAATATTAAGTCATGCAAATTGTGTGAACATTGAAATATGTTCAATTTTACATATGACACTCCCCCTTCAGAGTTCAACATGAAGTATGGTTCGGTTTTCTTGTGAATGATTCATTAGTACATGTAAAAAAAAATGTAATTTGCTTATTAGAAAGGACTTTCCTTTTACAGTGTCTCTCAGAAATATGTCAAATTAAGGAAGAAAAATGGTGTATCTCATCAAAAAGTCTCTCATGCTCACCAAGGCTACATTTATTTAATCAGAAATACAGTGAAAGAAATGTGAAATATTATTACAATCTAAAACAGCTGTTTTCTATGTGAATATCTGTTAAACTGTAATTTATTCCTGTGATCAAAGCTGTATTTTCAGCATCATTACTCCAGTCTTCAGTGTCACATGATCTTCAGAAATCATTCTAATATGCTGATTTGCTGCTCGAGAAACATTTCTGATTATTATCAGTGTTGAACACAGTCGTGCTGCACGATATTTTTTGTGGAAACAGGATTCACAGATAAATAGAAAGTTCAAAAGAACAGCATTTATTTGAAATAGTAACATTATAAATGTCTTTGCTGTCACTTTTGATCAATTTAATGCATCCTTGCTGAATAAATGTATTGATGTCTTAAAAATAAAACACTTTACTGACACAGACTCATAGACTAAAGCCATAACACGATCCAGGAGATACTTTTTATGGCACAGAGACTTCACCCAACTGTTCCTGCTGAATGTGGTTGTGTAGTATAACAGTGTTGTTATTCCAGTGAAGCAATGGCAGATGCAGCTCTTTCCAGCAGTCCTGTTTGCATCCATGACCTGCCGTCTGTTGCCACTCGACAGGTATTTTCATCACACCAGTCACAGATTTAAGAAAGAGCTCCATAAAGCTCTGAAGAGAGAGATAATTGAGCTGAATGCGAAGCCAGACATACTTCTGTATTTGCAGTAGTTGTGAATGTTCTCACAGTCGCTCAGATAACAAAATGACAGTGAGAAATAAACAATCTCATTTGGTTTCTTCATTCAGGCATTTATTATAGTTGTTCCTGGAGCTTTGTCCATTTGAGAGCTTAAAGCAAATCATGGTGCTGGAACGAGAATGTTGCATTTATCATAACGATAAAACTTTCATTGTAAAAGTGTATAAATAACCAACACATGCTGTTATGTTCAAAGAGCTCTATATATCTTTTTTATAGGTGCAGTTATTTGCATCATGTTCGACCTGGAAATAATATAATATTGACTTTCCTTCAACAAATCAAACGGTTGGGGTGATAGAAAAGTTCAACCAAGAAGCTGCAAACCTTTTTTCTTATGTGGAGCTCAAAAGAATGTGAATATATCCTGGCAGCTTTTTTACATTTAAAGTAGTTCATTCAGCAATGAACATTTTATGAAAATGTGCTCACCCTCAGGCCATCCAAGATGAGTTTGTTTCTTCATCAGGTTTGTAGAAATGTAGCACTGCATCAGTGTCTCAGCAATGGATGCTCTGCAGTGAATGGGTGCCGTCAGAATGAGAGTCCAAACAGCTTATAAAAACATCACAATAATCCACAACCTTTTCACTTCTCAAGACATTAAATGATGGACTGGAGTGCTGTGGGTTACTGTGATGTTCTGACGGCACCCATTCGCTTCAGAGGATCCATTGGTGAAAGTGCGAACAAGTCTGATGTAACAAACTCATCTACATCTGGATGAACTGAGGGTGAGATACTTGTTTTGATTGATTAAATGATTTGATTATTAGCACTTCTGTAACATCTGTGTATAAAGTACAGTAAACCGCAATAAAAGGAATTTTAGGAGCTCGATCAGTTATACATTTCTTAAAGCATATAAAAATGACAACTGACATGATTAAAACACATTCTGGTTTATTGAAGTCATTAAACGTTGTCACAGCGCTCTGAAAGCTCACATTTACAGACAAGAAACTCTGCTTAGCAAGCAAGTGCATGAAAATCAACTCAAATCCAACTGAAAGATAAAAAAATGGCCAAACCCTTCAGAGGTAAATGTCACATCTCTCCTGTTGAGTTTGGTGGAGATTTATTTTTTCGTCAGGTGTGAACTTTATTTCGGTTTAGTTCCTAGACATACGGCAGATTCACGAATCGTCTGTGTATGTCGATTTCAGAGGGGAATGGAGGATAAATCATGCGTCAGGTTATGTTCTTGCACATAAAAACCACACATCAGAGTCACCTGTGTTCCCAAGTGTTATTTATTTAGCTTTTCCCAAAAGTTGACCATGAGGCATTTCTCGATTCAAGCTTTCACACTTACAGCAATAGGAAGGTGAGTATGGTTGCCTTTAAGACAAGCTGTCTAGATATCTGTCCATATACTCTATTTGTTGAGAAGATCTGACCAAAGCCACATTTAAGCTCCGCATGTTAATAATATTGTATTCTGAAGCAGAGAACCTCAAAAGGAACTAGCTCAATATTGTATTTTTACACGACAAATGCACTATTTCAAAACGGCTGGTTTGCTTTTCGGTATGTGTGACGCCACTGAACTGTGTTAGACGCGTGAGGTTCATCAAGTCTTTCTCACGCTGCATTTGGTGACGCGTTTGCAGAGGAGAGCAGGATTGTGTATGCATGAACACATTTGGCCACTATATACAGCAAGTACACTGCGCTCTATAAAGGCTGTTATATACACTTTTTAAAAACATAATTTTGCTCTTTTATATCATTGTTCATTCATTTGCTTGAAAAATTAGAATTGCACCAAGGACAATAACTGCTATTTGATTTCTAGTAGTACAACTAATCACAGGTTATTTTCCAGCGTCCACTGAACGTCCGTTAGTAACGTTTGATTTCCCATCCCAGATCCAAAAACAAAGCAAAACAAAAAAACACATATAATATTCACATTCCATATAATCCTTACAAATGAATAAAGTGCTCTCTTTCGTCATAATGTCACAGACAGACCAAAGTTACGAATAAAAGTTAAAACAAACATACTTCACTTGATATACTAATGCTTCTTTGTGACAATGCAAGATTCCATTTCTTAGAACAATAAAGAAACAGAAAAAAGAGAAGAAATTATATTACTACCTTGCAAACGCCCCTGAAACTTTGTTGCGTTGTATACTGTAGAGTTCATAAGACGTCTATGGTGTGATACATTCCTCCACTTTAAATACGTCTGGATTGGCACTCCAGTACTTTGTAAATCATTTTTTCATTTTGTAAATAAAGACTTAGCGGTATCCACAAAATGCGAGGGTTACTTGAAAATCACATTAAGCTTATTCCCACGAAAGTGCTTTGAACTAATATTATTGCCACTCTACATCTGTGAATTTTGACACAAGCAATGTTTCTGCTCGGGAGCCAGAACTGTAAGGTAATAACTGTAAAGATAATAATCTCCAGTCAATAAACTCTGAATCATTATTTTGAAAATATCTGATACCATTTCCAAAAGTCCAAATCAATAGATACAAAATTAAAGAGAAAACAAAATAAACCTGACACAAAATCCGCTTTAATATTTCTATACATCATATAACTTAATTATAAATATATCTATAACTACAACTTAATTTTTTTGAAACAGATTTGCACTTTTTACAGTATTGAACAATTCAACAATATGATGTCCAGAAAGCCTAGCAAATTAGTTTAGTTTCATTGGGAAGAGAGAGAGAAGGATTAAGTGAGAGAGGGAATGAGTTCAACACAGATTGCCAGTTGCGTTTCCGCTTTAGTGCTGGGAACGATGGCAAGACACACTATTCCTCTGTGTGTCGGCCTCTGTTGCGGAACGTCAATAAATGTGCTTTCTAATAATGTGCAGAGCTTTAAAGAACTTTTTTTTTTACTCCAATGCTCCAAAAGGGAGCTGCCAGGGTATTTGTAGCGTGTCTGGCACCCAAGTTTTTACCAACAGATTGAGTTGACTTAAAGTAGGCACAGGTAATTGTACACAACTTCTGTAACACTGTTTTTTTAGTTTATTAAAAGTGTTTCTATTATGCCGTTTCCTCTATTCAAAATACTGGCTTTAATAACCTCCACCTACACATTCACTGTCACTCACACCTTATGCCCACCCTTTTGGGCGCCTATTAAACATTTGACTCCACAAAGGGTCTCTTTGGTTTGATGGGCGAGGTGGGACATTGTCTGGCATCGCGGGAAAGCTGGCGGTACATGTTCTCCTGGTACGCCTGTGCCACGGGCATTGTCCGTGCCACCTTAACATCCTGGTACGTCGGTGCCTGGCTCACTCGCTCCAAGTGGTCTCGATCACGGGCCGCTCCGTTGGCAAGCTTGCCCAGGGAGGAGGGCTGGGGCTGGATGTAGTACTCCTCCTCTAGCATGTGTCCATTCTGGGCATTATTGGTTTTATTGTAGTAGGCAATATTGCCTAGAGATGTAGGTGGGCTGTAGGAGGAGGCTGTGGATGCCTGGTGGATCAGATTCCCAGGTGACGTGGGGCAGGTGATAAGCGATTCCAGAGATGACACGGGCCAGGCCCGGGAAGTCTGGTGGAGGTACTGCTGCTGAGTCCTTGCGGTCTTGTCGATGACGCCCATGAACGGAGTGGTCCGGGATCGGGCTGGTTCGCCCGAGTACAGTCCGCTCTGAGAGGGCGACAGGGCAGATGGCTCATCGAAGCTCCGTTCATATGCAGCCTGCAGCGGGATTTCCATTTGAGCCATGGAGGAGGACGGCCTGAAGCCAGGGGTTAGATTACAGCTGGAGCCTGAGGAGATATTACCGCTAGATGGGGAGAAGCGAAGATTTACGCTCTGGGAGTGGATAAGCGGTCTGGGGGTTGGTACATGCTGTTTTAGGTCACTTGTGTTGGCACTGATAGGTCTGCGCACTAGGTGCGGGATCTCCGGAGAGCCCAGCTGGCACGGTGGCAGAGCAGAAGCCGCCACCGCTCTCTCGAGTTCATGCTTGGAGACTGGATAGTATGCCGCTGACTGACTGCGGCTTATCTGGGGTGTTTGGCTGAAGCGCATGCCTCCGGGTCCCCCTGTAGCTGAGCGGTACGCCGAAGCGGGTCGCTGAGGGATCTCATCTTTCCCCAAGTTTGACTCCAGAACCCCAGCAGGCCCACCTCGGCTCCCATGCTGACAGAGAGCTCCCACACTGAGGCTGGATTGCACTTGAGACATTGACCGGCCATCGAGCGAGGGTTGGTACACCAGCCTCGGCTCTCGATCTCTGTCCCTGTCCACATCCATGGAGCTACCTTGGTACCTACTGCTAAGCGGATGCGCCAACTGGCTGTACATGCTGTTACTGGGCTGGTTAGTGCGGACGATTTGTGCCATTGAGGGCTGCAGGCGCAGACCCTGAACCTGGTGGTGCTGGCTGGTCTGAGAGCTCTGGGAAGGTTGCGACTGGAGTTGGAAGGACCGCTGGCTGCTCATCTTCAACAGTGGCGATTTAGGGCGGCTAGGTAGAGGATCCTGCTGGTAGCGGACTGGTGAGCCAGACTGGGAACGATACAGACACACGCTCTCCATTGGAGGGCTACCTCTGAACGGAACCCCACGCCTAAGAGGAGATGGCGGAGGACTCTGGTAGTCCATCCCCTGGTTCCCTCCACTGCCAATGGGTGGAGGGCTGAAGCGGTAGGAGGACTGATGGGCTGGAGAGGTGTGTGGTGGACTCTGGCGGTAGTGGGAGTTCTGATGTGTTGGAGAGATACATGGAGAGGTGGACTGGTAACTATGATGGGTAGGAGATGACATGGAGGAGGAGCTTGGGTGGAACTCGAAGGCATGCCCTCCAGATAGGTAGCCAGTGTCATGATGGGGTGGAGAAAGGGGTGGACTGCATATAATGGCAAGGCTCGAAGCGTTCGAGCGAATGTCAGAAGCAAAACCAATGGACACGGCCTCTAGCTCTTGTTCCAGGAAGTCGTCATCCTCAAACAAGTCTTGGACGGGCTCCATGTCATCCAGTCTTGGCTCAGGAGGAGGGGTATGATGAGGGGGCTCCTCATCTTCCTCCACCGGTGAGGGAGATGGTGGTGGGGATGGAGGAGGCTCAAGCTCTGGCTCCTCTGATTGGGTAACTTGCCTGTACTCCTCGTCCACGCGCTGAAGAAGGCGCTGGATTTCACGATTGTTGGGACACAGATTTATGGCTTCCCTCAGGTCATCTAGTGCTTCGGCGAATTGCCTATAAAGCGGCAATGGAAATATTAAGCCACCAATAAGTAACTTGATGTGTGAAGCCCTGTTCACACTGCCAGCGACTTTGTCGCTAGGCTCTGTACTGTGAAGACGCTTGTGGGCGTTCCTAGTGCCGTCGTTCTAATATCATTGGTAGACTGCACGTCTGGACATGTCTTGAGAAAATGCTTTCACAACTTTATATATTGCTGGTAAAACTAAGACATCATTCTAATTTAGGGCTGAATGATTAATCGAAATCGAACCGAAATCGCGATTTGGCTTAATGCAATTATTGAATCGCAAAGGTGGCAATTTTTTATTAAATAAATATATGCACAGCGTCAGTAGTAAATGCTGCTCAATCTCTGCAAGTGCTGTGAGTTTGAGTCACTTTTAACGTGCATCTGAAAAAGCAACATACGCCAAACATCTTCCTAAACTTAATGAGAAGGGATTTTTTTAACCTGTTATACAACAAAAGAGAACATTTAATAACGAGTGTTTGAAATAACTTCATTATCTGACCTGGTTTGGCTTCTTATCACAGAATGAGGCAGAGAATATATTCTATACTGTAATAAAGGTTATGTCGATTAGCACTGGATTATAAATTTACTTTTTTATTATAAAAATACCTAAGATCAGTTCAAACATTTATATTTCATTTTTATTCAATCACAGCGATAGCTAGATACCTTTGTCCATATAAGGGATTTCCTGGAACATCATGAGCTCTATTATATCTGTGATGCATACATAGAGTTTTTGCGCGAGGGCGCCCTCTGGCGTATGTGAATTAAACACATACGTATGTGTTTAGGGCTCAGTAATGACCGCTCAGTCCTATGATGGGCATAAACAGGAAAAATAATACTTCTCTCTAAAGAAATTTGAAGTAAATATATAATAATCCATGTTTTTCTCCAGTGTATAGAACGGTACATGAGATGTTTTTTCCCCCACTGTGGATGCATAAAAAAGGCTCATATTTCTTATTAAAGACATGGAAAATTAAGAAATTACTGTCAAAGATTTTGCATGTTAACAAGTAACCCTGCAGTTGTTTGTAAAATAGTTTTCTGTAAAATAAAATTATTATTGCTCTTATCTTATCATTATTTTTTAAATCTAATTATTATATTTATTTTTGCTGTTGTTGTTAATTTGTTTTAAAAATTGCAGTTTAAATCACAAATAGTAATTTTAACCAGGAAAATCTCAATTAGGTTTTTTCCCCAAATCGTGCAGCCCTATTCTAATTTGACTAGGAATTAGATTTAAAAGTAGCAATCTCCTGTTGGAGAGTTTTGTTACATAAACTACAGCAGAGCTTGGTGCATTAAATCATTAACCATTTCTAAACTGCTCACTGCATCATATAAATAACAACTCGAACCATCTATGTATGATAAATCCATGTCTGTTTTTACAGTCAAATCATATAAAACGGGGAAATCGCTCTGGAACCTGCACTCGAGACGGTGACGTGTGAGCGCCACTGACAGATTCTTCACTCCTATTGGTTGTCTCTAACGAAATTCACTGTTCATTTGCATGAAGTTAAACTATTCTTAACTTTTGTCGCTTGACATGCCTACATTCAGTCGCCAAAGGTCACTATGAGGTCGTGTCGCCGGAAGTCGCCAGCTCTCCATTGAAAATGAATGGGATCATATCGCTTTGTCTCTGTGTGTAGCTGGAGGTGTGAACAGGGCTCAAGGAAATAAACAATGGAAGAACCCTACCTGCTGCTACGCTTGGCACGGGCTCTAGCATAGAATGCCTCGTAAGACTTATGCATCAGTTCCAGAGCCTTGGTAGCAAACTCTTCCGCCATACCAAAGTCCTGCAACCAAAAAGGGTTGCATGAAATCTGGGGGTTGACATTTCATTATTTTGCACAGTTGTACTAGAAGTACATCAGCAAGGTTCTCACGACATGCCACATACTGCAGTTCCAATATTACAGCATCACACAAGCTTTATATGCAGAATCTTACTGTGTGCTAGAATGAGAGTATTTTTAGAAACGCTCATGCTGTTCTCACATTCATTTTCCTCCGACAGCGAGACAAGTTCAGAAACAAAGACACTTTGAGCTCCTTAAAAGTCTTCAGGTCCTCACTTAATCCTTCTCGGGGAAATTTCTTCAGAGCATACTGGTAGCGCTGAGCTGCCTCCTTCACTTTACCCTTCTGCAGGTGAAAAGATGATTGACTGTGTAAATGCACAGAGCCAGGGACTTTGTACTAGACAAATCTGTGCAAACATCGAGTAAATCTGACCTTGTAGAAGCCATCTCCTTCCTCTAAAAGTTTACTCAGTAGGATAATCATGATGTCAGGTTTCGATGTCGCCATGGCCCAGGTAGCAGGACCTATGGGTAACAGGATGTTTGATGGGTCAAAATAAACAACTGGTTTGAGGGGAAAACATGGGGAGAGACGGAGGAGTGCAGAGAGCACTCAGGAGCAGTGTTGTGGGTAACGCATTACAAGTAACTCGAGTTACATAATCAGATTACTTTTTTAAAGTAACTAGTAAAGTAGCGCATTACTTTTTAATTTAGAAGGAAACATCTGAGTTACTTTGTTTCCATGTGTTGAGTGACAGCTCTGGTGTTGCCATGGTGACAGAAATCAGGAGTAAGTGCAGAGCGTTGTGTGTGAACATGATCTTACTGTAGTTCTAGACTAAATATCAACGTGTGTTTACTCATCTCACTGCACACAAACACATTCAGTGTTCCTCACAATCAATAAAAACTGTCAAATGCAAACTCAGAATATTATACAAACCTGCAATAATTAAATATGTTAAATAAGACAAATATCATTTATGCATTTAATCCCATTTTATTAACCAGTCATCTTTGCTACTGACCTTCAATGATCCAATTCAAGCATACTAATAAGCAAAAATGACACATTTGTGTTTCATTTTTGTTTTTGCTGAATAGTGTTGAACTTTCTTCTCCTGCATCATATTCTTCATGTGATTAGTTTGAGCGGCGCCCTCTACTGTACAGACGTGAATTTACACTTCCTTCAGCCTGAGGCTCTTTCATTCCACTTTTGTTGTGAAAGGGCTTTTACATTTGTAAAAGAAGAACTTTTTTATATTAAAAACAAATAAGCAAGCCCTGCCCAGATTTAAAAAGTAACTCAAAAATAAAGCAACACATCACTTTCCATAAAAAGTAACTAAGTAACATAATTAGTTACTTTTTTTAGGGAGAAACGCAACATTGTAACGCATTATTTTTAAAAGTAACTTTCCCCAACACTGCTCAGGAGTCATAACACACAGATGAAGGCATGGGATGAGGATGCCTTCAGTTCTCATTCCCTGTAACCTTTCACTTTTAACACTTCAGGACAGTTTAAAGTGGCAGTTAAACCTGCGGCACCCAAACACAGCCCTGCACACAGAACAGAGAGCTGTCGGGATGCCTGAAGGAAAGCGAGATGCACAAGCATTACCTACTTTACGCTGACTCGGCAGCGTCTGACATCCTGAGGTCAGAGGCCAGGGTTTGTGAGAGCGAGGGAATGAGGATTGGGGTTGCGGGAGAGTGAGATGGAGCGAGTGGCACAAGCATAGGTGGTGTGTGTTTAGGCGAGTGAAAGCGAGAGCGGGAGAAAGATGAAGTGAAGTGGAAGAGAGGTGAGGGGGAACACAAAAAAGCAGCCGTGAGTGGTGGGAAATAAGAGCTTCGGCTGAAGAGTAAGAAAGTAAAAGTAAAGTCAGCTTTATCTGCCTATAAGAATGGGGGATCATTCGGCTTTACAGTCTCTCTTTGCACGTTTTAATGATATTAAGGAGTGGATGGCAGCAAATTTTCTTCACCTGAATGAATCTAAGACTGAAGTGATTCGAGTGTTTGGCCCTCCGAGTTCTTCTGAACCTATAATCAATCAATTAGGCGCCTTTAAATCTAAGGTACAAAATCATGCAAGGAGTCATTTTTGATGCATATCAATTCTGAGGTAAGAGGTGCTTTTTCCAATTAAGGAATATAGCTAAATTAAAACCTTTTCTGTCTTTTAATGATTTGGAAGTTGTAATGCATGCTTTTATCACGTCCAGACTGGACTATTGTAATTCATTGTACTATGTCGTTTCTCATGCATCAATTTCACGCCTGCATCTGGTTCAAAATGCTGCTGCCAGGCTTTTAACTGCGACTAGGAAATTTGTAAGTGTAACACCAGTGTTAGCATCCCTTCATTGGCTTCCAGTCAAATTTAGAATTCAGTACAAGTTACTATTATTTGTTTTTAAGGGCTTAAATGGACTGGCACCAAGTTATATTAGTGAACTTCTCCAGCAGCATACATCATCTAGGCCCTTACGATCTGTACAAAGAGAAAGAGAAACAGGTAGCGAGTGAAACCAAAGGCAAACACCACAAACAAAAAGAGTCACGGATCTAGAGACACGTAACTAAGAGTCAGTGAAGTATGTGGAGCAGCCGAGCACAAGCTGAGCTACATGAAAACACATACACATACATGAGGACTTCCACTAATGTACATTTCTCTCCGCTAAGCCGCTTTCCTTTTGGGGATCGTCAGTGATTTCTGCTTTTACTATGCTTTTAAAGTTTAAGGCGACCAGCTTCAGGAGATTTTTAAGTTTTCTCAACTTCTTGTTTTCAGTTTATACAACAAAAAGTTGAGAAAACTCAAAAATCTCCAGAAGCTGATTGCCTTAAACTTTTAAGTTTTCTCAACTTTTGATTTTTTACAGTGTTCGGACAAAGCCTGAGCCACATTAACGCTGGGGTAAGTTCACATGCACTGATTTTCAGTCGGAATGAATCCAGTCTGATTTCACATATTCGTGAATATTTCACATATTTTGAAAGTCCACTTTTGATGTCAGATTTACTAAACTGGGCAAATTAACGTTAGAGCACAATTCCATAAAAGTGCCGATGGGAGGGGAAATTCTGCGTGTGATTTACTGACAATGCACACATTAAAGAACACAGACGCAGCAGATCATTTCCATAATGACCAGCGCAATCTACTAAAGAGCAGCGCAAATTACCGACATGCTTTAAGACATGCTTTTTTTGGGGGGCGTTAAATAATGGCGCAAACACCAGTAATTCGACGAGCGCAAACGTTAGTAAATCGCATTGCGTGATTCATTTTAATACTCTCCTCCCATAAATTTTGCATCTGAAAGGGAAACTCCTACAAATGCATATTTAATAAGTTCACTGCGCATCACTGCGTAAATCCTGACAGTACTATTTTAACACCAAAAGACTGTTAGAAAATCTGGCCCTTTCTGTTTAATATCTGCTAATACTTTATTTGAAAAGCTGACGTATATGTTAGAAGAGTTTTTTAGCAAATATTTATTCTCCTCAATTGACCAGTTCAAGAAGAAAGATGAAAATAAACTTTGCAAGACGTATGTAAATATGTGTCCCTGCAGCACAAAAGCAGTGTTAAGTCGCTGGGGTATATTTGTAGCAATAGCCAACAATACATTGTATGGGTCAAAATTATACATTTATCTTTTATGCCAAAAATCATTAGGATATTAAGTAAAGATCACGTTCCATGAAGATATTTTGTAAATTTCCTACCGTAAATATATCAAAACTTAATTTTTGATTAGTAATATGCATTGCTAAGAACTTCATTTGGACAACTTTAAAGATGATTTTCTCAATATTTAGATTTTTTTGCACCCTCAGATTCCAGATTTTCAAATAGTTGTATCTCAGCCAAATATTGTCCTATCCTAACAAACCATACATCAATGGAAAGCTATTTATTCAGCTTTCAGATGATGCATAAATCTAAATTTCACAAAAATTGACCCTTATGACTAGTTTTGTGCTCCAGGGTCACAAATGTGCATCATAACACTGCATGTGCTGTATTTTTGAATCCAAATTTGGAAAACCAGTCATATTCAAGTGTTCAAGCATAACTGGCTCCCTACAGGACTACAATACCCCTTTCAACGGATGGAAATTAAATTCAGATCAAGCTCAGTAGGATCGAATGAGGGGTTGACATGGCTTTTCAATCTGATTAGGCCATCAGTCGGATTATTTGGTTACATGTAAATTGTCATACCGATTTTGGCTCCTTTCTTCAGCAGGGTGAGCACCACAGACGTGTTTCTGCAGCCGACAGCGCGCTCCAGAGGACGCATCCCACTGTAGTCCACATGCTCGATCAAAGCCCCATGATCCACCAGGAACTGCACCTGAGACCGAGAAAGAGCAGAGGAAAGAAGGAGCTCAGTAATGCAGGATACATTGCATTAAACACACTGAAGTGTAAGCACAAACTGCTGTGCATTAGCACAGAAAATTATCCAGACTCGTCTCTCGGTTTGAAAAAACAAACACTGTGCATAGTCCTACACTTACTTAAGTTAAGTGAACTTCAAAGTTCAAAGTTGAATAAATAAGTTTTCCATTGATGTATGGTTTGTTAGGATAGGACAATATTTGAAAATCTGGAATCTGAGGGTGCAAAAAAATCTAAATATTGAGAAAATCATCTTTAAAGTTGTTCAAATGAAGTTCTTAGCAATGCATATTACTAATCAAAAATTAAGTTTTGATATATTTATGGTAGGAAATTTACAAAATATCTTCATGGAACATGATCTTTACTTAATATCCTAATGATTTTTGGCATAAAAGAAGGACAACAGCAGGTTTGGAGGAGTTTAATTACTGCCAGAACTTCTCAAAGTAAATCTAAGGGAAAACCAAAAGTCAAATTATTTATAGTACAGATGTGCTCAAAATAAGCGGAAGGTGTTTGGAGTTCGGTGGATGTAGTTTGAAAGCTCTTGGGGGAGGAGTATTTAGGAAAATTGGTCTCAAAATTTTTTAACCCAAAATTGTCCAGCTAAGTGAGATAAGGCTCACCACGTCAGAGTCTCCATAGAAGGCGGCCAGATCGAGAGGCGTTCGTCCGTTTTTATCTGCGTGGTCCGTCGCAGCTCCTCTTTCCACCAAACAGCGAACCACAGACAGATGTCCTTTCAAACACCCCCAGCTGAGCGCCGTCAGACCCTCCTTATCCATCAGATCCACAGACGCACCTGCAGTCAAACCAGAGCTATTCAGACACCTTCAACACTTATATCACAGGTTATTCACTATAGTTTAGAAAACGCTAATACAATATGACAACAACTGTGTCAGAACAAATTCATCTTGATAATGTCAGATAACTTTGATAGAAAGGTATGTAATGGATTCGGTTGAATAGATGTCAGCTGTTAAATTTAAGATCATACCAATTTAGCTCAACTAATTACCAAGCAATGCTTCATTTTGTTCAGTCTGTGATGTAAAAAGCTCGCATTAGCAATTACAGAAAAAACACTTGAGCAAAACATGTTCAGGTCAAAGTGTCTGAATAATTTTTAGTCCCAAATTTTACTACTAGTCCACTGTATGAAGAGTTTTTGGGTATAATATGTCACAGTTCACTTTATTTTGCTATCCTCACTTACATTAAAAAAAAATCAAAAATATATAAATCTGGTGTCTGAATAAGTTTTGGTTTGACTTTACAAATAAAGACATGAGGTATACTTCATGCAAGCCTCATTAAACTGTGCCATAAAAGTGTTGGGGAGTAACTAGTTACATGTAACTGAATTACATAATTTAATTACAAAATAAATGTAACTGTAATTAGTAACAGTTACTGAGAAAAAAATGTGTAATTAAATTAGTTACTTATGAAAATCTTTCATATCTTTCTGTTCAGTTTTACTGTAAAGTTAACCCTGCCTGCTTTACATGTTTGCAAATGATTAACATTTGAAATAATTTGTTAAAAATTTAGAACATTACTTGATCAGAACAGTTACATTACTTGAAATAGTTACATTTTAAATAGGGTAACTTGTAGTCTGTAACGTGTTACATTCCCAGCACTGGTTCTAAAGGTGTGTGTGATGTACCCTGAGCCTCGAGGAACTCCACCGTGTGCAGGTGTCCCTCTGAAGCTGCCATCATGAGCGCAGTACGGCCGTGTTTATCAGCCAGGTTCACGTCTGCTCCGTGCGACACCAACAGAGCCACAGTCTGGAAGAGTGCGTACAGCTGAAGCATGCAGAGACGCTCTCTGGAGACGAAGCTGGAGAACGAGTGTGTGTCAGTTACCTGCCAGTGGCCCTGACGCACAGAGCTGAAGAGCGGCAGCACTCCTCTCCGGTTGGGCTGAGCCACGGAAGAGCCCTGCTCCAGCAGCATCTGACAGACCTCCAGCTTCCCTCGGCCTGCTGCGGCACACAGCGCTGAGGACACGAGCCGGAGAGAGCGATCAGTCATCACAGGAACAGTCTGTCTGAGTTACCAGCAGATGTTCTTCCAGTAACACTAATAGAACCTTATCTGGGCCTGTATTCACAAAATATATGTGACCCTGGAGCACAAAACCAGGCTTTTGTGCTGCAGGGTCACAGATGATCTTACCACTGAGAGTTCTCCTAAAGACAGTGTTGAGGGGTAAATAGTTACATGTAACGGAATTACGGAATTTAATTGCAAAATAAATTTAACCGTAATTAGTTTCAGTTACTGAGAAAAAAATGTGTAATTAAATTACAGTGATGAAAATGTTAATGATTACAAAGGGGTTACATCTGAATATTTTTACACACATATAGATTTGATTGATTTCTTTCATAAATTGCAGTGACTGCTTTAAAATACGAGACAGCAGTGTTTCAGGAGTTTAGGACACATGCTTTAGATTTAGATTTTAAAATGCAGGCTAAGTGTCACTAATTAAACATTTTAATTAACAGAGTAGAATAATCATGGCTGATAGTAAGACAAAGTTTGTAATGTTGTGATTCTCCTTGTAGCTGGTTGGTTTGGTTTATGACTGATAACTCTTAAACCAAGCCTTTTTTAGTTTTTTTTAAATGCCAATGGAAAAATGAATGGGAAAAATACACCCAGAACCAAAGAGTCTTTCACGCCAGTTCGGATGCTGCCTTAGCAGTCAGCTGTCTATGTAGGAAGCTCACTAGGTTTTAGAACACAGTTATAAACAGAACAATCCTGTACCTGTCTCCCCCCACAGAGTGTCATAGCTGTTAATCTGAGCGCGCTGACTGTCCTCTTCATCCCTCTCCGGCAAGTCCAAGAGATAAGACACAACCTTAAAGACACAGATACAGTTATACAGCTATACACCACAAAACCCCATAAGGGTCAGTTTTGTGAAATTGAGATTTATACATCATCTGAAAGCTGAGATACAACTATTTGAAAATCTGGAATCTGAGGGTGCAAAAAAATCTAAATATTGAGAAAAACATCTTTAAAGTTGTTCAAATGAAGTTCTTAGCAATGCATATTACTAATCAAAAATTACGTTTTGATATATTTACGGTAGGAAACTTACAAAATATCTTCATGGAACATGAAGAGAAATGGCATAAAAGAGAAATGTATAATTTTGACCCATACAATGTATTGTTGGCTATTGCTACAAATATACCCCAGCGACTTATGACTGCTTGTGCGCTGCAGGGTCACAAATGTGTTGGCTATGCATAGTGGGCAGCATTTTAATGCATTGTAGACATGGTCCCATCAATCCCATAATGCATTGACAAGTTCTTAGAAAAAGTCCAGGCAAAAAGGTGGATGAGGTGAGAGAAATGATGCTGAAATCAATAAATGTATCAATAAAAACATTCCAATTAAAATTTACTTTTTGACCCAGTACGTGTACTATAGGGTACAACAGAGCTAAAGGCACACAGAAAGGTAAATGTTTTTGTTTTTTTTTACTATTCCCTTAGTGTACGACTGAAAATATATATATCTTTTTAACTGAACAGCAAAGCATTTAGTGGAAAAAAGAAATCATATAAGTATTTTTTTTTGTTTTTTTAATCTGATCAATGCACGATGTGTAAATAGTTCACAGGTATGGAGCAAAAGTATTGTTACAAATACTTTAGCCAAAATAATACATTTTGTATAATATCTGGATCATACACCTCAGTGTAACCCATGCTGACTGCTGCTGTAAAGGCCTGTTGCACTGCCACGCTCTTGCTGAAGGTGGCAGGCTTTGGAGACGTCTGAGTGTCTGCTTGTGTCTGCGGTTTGGACTCCTCTGGAGGCTCCTGCTTCTGCTTGGGCTCCTGCGGTTCCTCCTGTCGCTCGGGGCTGGAGGGCTGTGACTCCGGGGGCGTGGCTTGTGTAGGAGAGGGCGTGGCCTGTGACTCTGCAGGTGAGGGGCCCCAGTCGCTCTGAATGAGGAACTTCATCACCTCCAGATGTCCTCTGAGAGCAGCATGCACTAGAGCACACTGACCAAGCTTGTCCAGGTGGTCGAGCTGTGGAGAGGACAGACGCACATATGAATATCATTCGGAGCGGTCTTCTGCAAGCTATGCCTAAATCAAAGCTCCAATCCGATTGACTGGCTTGATGCAAACTCTGTGAATCATGCATGGATTTTATCAGTCCTACAGACAACCAAAGTGGCTAAAATGTAACAAAATTTGACATTTGCAAGGTTGGGTTCAACAAACCAGAATTTTGTTTTGTTTTAAAATATCTGAGAATCTGATTTCAAATCTACCTTCGTTTAAAAAATTGGTTGATTCTTGGTCAGATTAGACTGCAAAGTAGATCAAACTTTACACCAAGGTCTAGTAGCTAAATATAAGTAGCTTTACTACAGAAGCCTAACAAAATATCAGTATATCAAGCAGATTCCACTCAAATGTTCTCAGTCTCATGAAGCATTAGGAAGTTTGTTCATTTGAACTCAGAGTTTTTATAGTCTTCATAGTATTTATGTAGTGAAATATATTTTTAAATATTGCTGATGCAAAATATTTTCAAATAAGTTTGACTGATTTATTTATTTAAATGTACAGCACCATTTAAATTATTAGATTTTTTTAATAAAGAAAATGATGCACTTAATTGATAAAAAGTGACATTACAGAGAGTTATGATGTTACGAGACATAATGATTTTAAATAAATGATTTTCCTTTGAACTTTCTATTCATCAAAGAATCCTGTAAACAAAAATGTTTCCACAAAAATATAACTGTTTTCAACATTGATAATAATCATAAATGTTTCTAATAATCAGCATATTATTATGATTTCTGAAGATCATGTGATGCTGAAGACTGGAGTAATGATGCTGAAAATACAGCTGCGCATCACAGAAATAAATTACAATTTAACAGATATTCACATAGAAAACAGCTGTTTTACATTCTAATAATATTTCACATTATTGCATTTTTTATGGCATTTTTTCAAATAAATGCAACCTTGGCAAGCAGCTGAGAAAACTAAAAAATCTTACCAACTTCAGACTTTTGAACAAAAGTGCATACAATGTTAATTTATGTATTTAATTATTCAATTCCACATTTAATAATAAATATACAGTGCTGAATTTTGATTTACACCTGAAAAAAAGTTATTAAATTTCATTGAAACATTATTACTCTTCGTAATTATGACTCTGCACTTTTTATAGGTCACTTTAAAATAAATACATTTGTGACACTAACCATGTGAACTCTTAAACACAATCATGCTGGTGTAACTTAAAACTGTTCAGCTGATAATATAATTTGCTATTATATTTAATAGATTGAAAAATGCCGAACAGAAGCATTTTGAATGTAGTCTCAGGCTTTCAAACAACACTGATAAAGCTTCAATGCACTAACTTTGGATTGTAGGTTACAGTTAGCTATCATGTTAAAGTGGAATCTTGACTGCAGCTACAGTTACAGGTGTTTCACATCCAGCGCTGGGGAAAGTTACTTTTAAAAGTAATGCGTTACAATGTTGCGTTACTCCCTAAAAAAGTAACTAATTACGTTACTTAGTTACTTTATATGAAAAAGTTATGTGTTACGTTACTTTTGCGTTACTTTTTAAATCTGGACAGGGCTTGCTTGTTTGTTTTTAATATGAAAAAGTTCTTCTTTTACAAATGTAAAAGCCCTTCCACACCAAAAGTGGAATGAAAGAGCCTCAGGCTGAAGGAAGTGTAAATTCACGTCTGTACAGTAGAGGGCGCCGCTCAAACTAATCACATGAAGAATATGATGCAGGAGAAGAAAGTTCAACACTATTCAGCAAAAACAAAAATGAAACACAAATGTGTCATTTTTGATTATTAGTATGCTTGAATTGGATCATCGAAGGTCAGTAGCAAAAGCATTGGTTAAAATGGGATTAAATACATTAATGATATTTGTCTTATTTAACATATTTAATTATTGCAGGTTTGTATAATATTCTGAGTTTGTATTTGACAGTATTTATTGATTCTGAGGAACACTGAATGTGTTTGTGTGCAGTGAGATGAGTAAACACATGTTGATATTTAGTCTAGAACTACAGTAAGATCATGTTCACACACAACGCTCTGCACTTACTCCTGATTTCTGTCACCATGGCAACACCAGAGCTGTCAGTCAATACATGGAAACAAAGTAATGAGTTACTTATTTGAAAAAGTAACTAAGATATTTCCTCCTAAATTAAAAAGTAATGCGCTACTTTACTAGTTACTTAAAAAAAGTAATCTGATTACGTAACTCGAGTTACTTGTAATGCGTTGCCCCCAACACTGATTGCTCAGTCTTAGAACCCCAACTGATTTCTGAGCGTCAGACGCTCTCATACCTTGGCTCTCCTCTTGCACAGGGCAGTGACGATGCCCAGGTGTCCGGCGGCGGAGGCGTAGCCCAGCGGAGTGAGGCCGCTCTCAGATGCAGAGTCCACACTGACGCCGTTCTCCAGCAGCAGGTGCACCATCTCGGAGTAGCCCAGGTGAGCATGCACACACAGCACCGGAGCGTTGTTTAACACCTCCGTACGGTAATTCACATTAGCGCCGCCCAGAACCAGCAGCCGGGACACCTACAGAGCATGCACGGGAGAAATAAACCTAATGCTGTGGAGCCAGAAACAAATGCACGGCCCATACGCTGTCAAAAAGGCAACTGCGTATTTTTCAGTTTACGAAACCTTTTGAGTCTCGAATACAAAAAAATGCTATTTTCTTGAATCTACATAATTGCAATTGATACGGTGGGGACTTTTTACACATTCTATTTATTTTATTTTTTTATAATTACCTCAACGACAGTAATTGTTATTTCAGTTGCTGTGACAAGAATTTTTCTATTAGCAAAATAAGTCAATCAGCATTGCATGAACAAACACATTTACTTTAAAGTATCTTTACTGAGAAGAACTAAACTAAACTATTGTTGAGAGAACTCAAATGTCTTCAAAAGTGCATCAAGTTGCCTTTTTTTTTTTTTTTTACGTTTTCTCATCTATTTATTGTTTACAGTGTAGAGTGGAGAAGCACCTTTATGTTGGGTGTGTAAAGGTTTCTGAGCGATGACAGAGCTGTGGATAAACTCTCTGTGCTGTATGACACCCACAGCCCCTGCAGGACTGATGAAGAAACTCCAACCTTCTTACTCAGTCCCTACAGTACGACACAACAAAAGCCTTAATGCATGAAAGCTCTGTTATTAAATGATGGCGATCTGTGCACGACTCTTACCTTGAATATGCGTGCTTTCAGGATATGGTGACCCAACTCAATTGTCTGCTGTCTGTTTAGTTTGTTTTCTTGTCTGGAGAACCAGAAAGCCAGAAGCGTATGGCCGTTCCTTTAAAAAACAAAAACAACATGTCAGAAACATGAAATACTTCAAGCTACAGTTTTCTGTGAAACTAGACCTGTCATAAAAACACATGAAGACATCATAATTTCTATCTCAGATTTCATAGAAAACCTTCAATATCTCAAATGGTATAGCATTTATATATTTGGAATTGTGACACAATGCTTTCATTCCTCTATTGTCAGCTGCTTTGGATAAATGTATCCGCTAAATGCATAAATGTAACAAAATCCTTAATTATAATTTTAAGAGGTTCTGTTTTTTTTTTAGTAATACTGATACACTATTATATTTTTATGAATGAATTTTATTTGTATATTTTCTGTTTTCACAGTTTTAGTAATTTTGTTGTTTTTGTCATTTTCTAACAGGTCTAAATATTTTTTTATTTTAGTAACTTAAACTAGATGAAAATGAGAAATGTTGATGACTAGCTGAAATAAAATAAGAGTAGCACTTTGCTTAAAGCCTTTTTGTATAATGCATTATAAAGGGTTATTAGAGGGTATGATGCATTATAATTTTTCATAATGTGCATTGTAATACATTATATCTTGTTGTAAATAATTATAACCATATTTAAAATGCATAGTGTAACAGTGAATTGATAAGTGTTATTATGTATTAACTGGTTAAAATTATTCATGAGATTGTACAATTCATTATAATGTGCATTACAAGGCATAATTAATGCATTAAAACTAATTTTATAATGCATTATATGTAAAGGCTTTATGTAAAGTGTTACCAAAATAAGTTTAAGATTTTTTAAATATTTTGTTTTATTTCAAGAAATGAAAATTTTTATATGCTTTTAATTTGAGTTACATTGATATTTATTCAGTATATAGATTTCACTATTTCCGGCACATTTCAGCACAATATATTTTTACGGCCTCTCTCTAAGCACTTTATTATTTTATCAATTTCGATCGAACTCTAATTCATATTTATTGACATGTTAGTGCATAAACCAATTTTTATACATACGAATGTACATATTAAATAAAACATGTCTTGAGTATTTAAACTTGCAGTTATCCTGTTTTACAGCTGAATGTGTGTCTGTTTAATTCAATAAAAATCATTTTGAGATTGTGTGGGTCATACAGTGATTTATTAGTGCAGGTATTAAATGTGACCCTGGAGCACAAAACCAGTCATAAGGAGAAATTGAGATTTATACAATAAATGTGCTTTCCATTGATGTATGGTTTGTTAGGATCGGACAATATTTGGCTGAGATACAACTATTTGAAAATCTGGAATCTGAGGGTGCAAAAAAATCTAAATATTGAGAAAATCATCTTTAAAGTTGTTCAAATTAAGTTCTTACCAATGCATATTACTAATCAAAAATTACGTTTTGATATATTTACAGTAGGACATTTACAAAATACATTCATGGAACATGATGTTTACTTAATATCCTAATGATTTTTGGCATAAAAGAAAAATGTATAATTTTGACCCATACAATGTATTGTTGGCTATTGCTACAAATATACCCCAGCGACTTAAGACTGCTTTTGTGCTGCAGGGTCACATATATGACTTAAAAAATGCTGGTTTGCTGGTTTTTAGATGCTTTAGTTAATCTAGGTGCCCAAAAATGACCATCACACCGTTTTAGGCTGTCGTAAACAGAAGAGTTTGTTGGTTTGTTCTGTTTCTCTACACAAAGCCAGTTTTTGCTGGTGTTCCAGTGCTTTCTGTCAGACCTGAGATCGCAGAGGAACTTGGTCTTCTCTCCCTCTTCTCTCCATATGAGCCACTCTCTGAAGGACGGGTGCACAAACATGCGAGTCCCATCCCGTCTCCTGACCAGGAACACCGACAGGTTCTCCATCCTCTGCTGGAAGTCGTCCCACTCCAGCGTTCCCTTCACCGAGCCGCTGTTGATGGCCTGGTAGATCTGCTCATCGGTGAGCGGATGCAGCGAAGCCAGGGCCACGTTGAGCAGCGGCAGGGCTCTGTCGAAGGACGATTGCGTGGGGAAGCGCATGTTACACTGCAGGAGGTAGACCTCGGCTAGACTGACCGGCACCACCTTGTAGTTGGAGCTCTTGAGCACCAGATAGCCGCGCTCGATCAGGTCAAAGGTGAGCTTCAGGTAGAGCAAGGAGCCCTGGCTGAGGGCCTTGAGGTGGGAGCTGAGCTTGCCGAAGCTGGTGTTGTCCATCTTGCCGTTGAGGGAGATGTTGTTCTGGATCTCTGCGCTGCTGTGGATGCGCTGAAGGATGTAGCTCTGCAGGTCGTGGTCGATGCTGTCGTTCTCCTCCAGAGCGTCCAGAGAGATTTGGTGGAAGGGCAGAGGTTTGGTGATTTCCTGCAAAGAAGGAAGGAGAGCTCATTGCTTTATGACGTGTTTAGTAAAGAAAGAAAAGTGCAATAAAATAATCTTTGGGTACACTTTATTTTGATAGTCCACTTTAGACATTCTACTAACTATTTGCAAGTACATGTCAACTTATTCTAACCCTAACCCTAGCAGTCTACTAATACTCTACTAATACTCTAATGAGAAGTCAACAGAATGTGTTAAAAAGACCATCAAAATAAAGTGAAACTAGTTTTTTTTAATGTTGAAGCAATGTTATCTTAATAGTGCAACCTAGTTATTGAAAGAAAAATGCATTAAAACTATTTAAAATTCATCCATTTCTGTAGTAATTGAATATTCTGACAAACAAAACAAAAGAAGTTTACTGACAAGCAAATAAAAAAAAACTGATTTATAACTGTAAAATCTTCAAATGATCAAGTTTCCTACGTCAACATACCAGGGGTTTGGGCCAAAAATGTCACTGAAACAAATTTCTACTTATTTTATTTCTAACATCTGTTAAAAATTTGGAATCAGTAAGAAACTGATACTTTTATTCAGCAAGGACGCATTAAATTGATCAAAAGTGAGAGTAAAGACATTTATAATGTTACAAAAGATTTCTATTTCAAATAAATGCTGTTCTTTTGAACTTTTTATTGATCTGTGAATCCTGAAAAATAAAATGTACCACTGTGTTCAACATTGATAATAATCAGAAATGTTTCTCGAGCAGCAGATCAGCATATTATACTGATTTAATGACTGCTAGTTGACATGTAGTTACTTACTGTTAGTAAGTGGACTATCAAAATAAAGTGTTACCTAATCTTTTTTTGCTAACACTTTATTGTGATGGTCCCTTTTGAGAATTCTGTTGACAATAAGTAACACTGCATCTACACGTCAACAAACTCTCGTTAGAGTATTAGTAGACCGTCTGCTTAATATCTGCTAACTCTTTATTGTGATGGTGTCCCAGCAGATATTCTGCTGACTATAAGTAATTTTGCAAGTACATGTCAACTTATTCTAACCCTAACCCTAGCAGTCTACTAATACTCTACTAATACTCTAATGAGAAGTCAACAGAATGTGTTAAAAAGACCATCAAAATAAAGTGAAACTAGTTTTTTTTAATGTTGAAGCAATGTTATCTTAATAGTGCAACCTAGTTATTGAAAGAAAAATGCATTAAAACTATTTAAAATTCATCCATTTCTGTAGTAATTGAATATTCTGACAAACAAAACAAAAGAAGTTTACTGACAAGCAAATAAAAAAAAACTGATTTATAACTGTAAAATCTTCAAATGATCAAGTTTCCTACGTCAACATAACAGGGCTTTGGGCCAAAAATGTCACTGAAACAAATTTCTACTTATTTTATTTCTAACATCTGTTAAAAATTTGGAATCAGTAAGAAACTGATACTTTTATTCAGCAAGGACGCATTAAATTGATCAAAAGTGAGAGAGTTGTCTCGGTTTTTAGGATTATGCAGCAGAGGTAGTGCCTACTCAAAAATAAAGAAAGAAAGAAATAGATAAAAAAATAATAAAAATAAATAATTGAGTACAAAAAAAATTTTTAAATCGCCATATTATATCAAACCATTTTTTATTTTTTTTGCAAGACCTTTGTTTGCGCAAAAAAATAGATAACTACAATACTGTTTAAAGGTTTGGGTTCAGAGAGAGAAATCAGCAAGGATGCATTAAAATGATCAAGATTTACTGTAAAAGTTTTCTATTAATAATAAATACTGTTATTAAATAAACAAAATAAAAAAATATGCACATAGAAAACAGTTATTTAAAATTCTAATAATATTTCACAATATTATGGTTTTTGCTGTATTTTTATAAATGCAACCTTGGTGAGCATAGACTTTCAAAAACATTAAAAACAAACTTTTTAACGACAGTGTGTGTGTGTGTGTCTGTGTGTGTGTGTGTGTGTAATATATTGTAAATATAAAACTAACAAAATGTTCATGTTACAAACAAATACAAACATTAATGTAATTAAACACAAGAAGTGAAATACAACTTTCTTTTTCACTCATACTTGTCCACATAAGTGTGTGGCTACTCCTGTTGAACTAGTTCATTCACAACTTAATGCATATTGCATAGCCTTCTGTTACATCACCATTCAGACAATTAACAAACAACTCTGTGATCAAGTTTGGCTAAAACATAACTCAACGTTTTTACCTACTATGGTGTAAAATAATGTGTCTCACTTATTGTCAAATGCTGTTCCTGCGTCTCTGCATGATAATTCAGTTCGATGTGCACTATTGTGGACTCCAGAGAAACGACTTACAAAAGCAAGAACAACAAACACCAGAAACCTCCCCTCGAGCTCCACAAACTCCAAAAGCTCTTACTGTTATTAAATAAATAAACAAAATAAAAAAATATTCACATAGAAAAGAGTTATTTAAAATTCTAATAATATTTCACAATATTATGGTTTTTGCTGTATTTTTATAAATGCAACCTTGGTGAGCAGAGACTTTCAAAAACATTAAAAACAAACTTTTTAACGACTGTGTGTGTGTGTGTTTGTGTGGGTGTCTGTGTGTGTGTGTGTGTGTGTGTGTGTGCACATATGTGTACTTAATGAGGTGTGATGGTTTAACGGGGAAGCTGCGGTCATTTGGGTCCAGTGGCACAGAGTGTGAATGCACAGAGAGCCAAAGGCTACACAAATCACAGCGCAGTGGAGGAGACCACAGAGAAATCAGAGATCACACGCAGAGGCCTGGCTGTGACCATCAACTATATTAGAATACTAATTCACTCATACAAATGTTTTAAAAGGACTTTAACCGTCCAGAAGGGTAGAACGTGAGACTTGATTATTAATGCATTGACTTAACTAGATCTAATAGCATGGCAAGGAAATTGCTTTCTGCCTGAATAAATATTTTATGAGGCGCACTGGCAAACCAACTTCTCTTTTTTAAACATATCTGCATAATGCAATAGCTGAGACCGCAACAGCAGATAAATATTTAATGAGGCTCACTGGCAAACTTACTTCTCTTTTTTAAACATATCTGCATAATGCAATAGCTGAGACCACGACAGCAAGCCTGCACAGGTTTAGATGGCCTTTTGTGTGCGAGCAGAAGCACTTCTACCGGTCAACAGCATCTATTGTGAGAAGATTGATGTGAGAAACTGTGTGTGTATGTGTGTGTGTGTGTGTGCGCGTGCGCGTGTGTGTGTGTGCGCGTGTGTGTGTGTGTGTGTGCGTGTGTGTGTGTGTGTATGTGTGTACCTGTGATGCAAGCCTCCTCATGGCCTCCTCCTGCCTCCTCCTCATTTCCGGAGTTCCAGGGCAACTTCCTCCTCCCAGTGTACCATGGGAAGTCTGCGGCTGTGTGAGAGGGATGCCCTCTCCATCTGACCACACACATGCAAGCAATCAATTACACTCAGTCCAGGCTCATTGGAAAAACATGCCTATGGTGACATTCTGTAAAAGGATATGTGTTTTCTTGTGACACTTTTCAAAGTGAAATGCCCAGTGACTGAAACAGATAAACATGAATCTGGCAATGGTTTATTACACTGGTTGTTGTATGTATTGCAGCAGTTCATAAATGAAATGTCCAGTGAGTGGAACTAAATGGTTAATGCTCTGTCACTTTTGAAAATAGCGTACCATCTACACTAACTCTGACCCTAAGCCTAACTGAGAGTGTTTACAAAAGCAAACATGAGATAAAAAGATGCATTTGCTGAAGCAATCATGTCATTTTATCTTGCTTCCACAAGTCTTCGAGCTCTTTTGACTGGTGTCTGACAGGTTTCATTCTCAAGCGCTTTTCATCACTAGTGTAATGCTGTACCGGGTGCGCTACCGAGCAAGTTTACTACGTAAGAAAAGCCAAATATATGGAGCTGGTTATGTGATGCAAACATCAAAATGTATTCGTTTACAAATAACGCACTGTGGTAAAAGTGCTTTGAGGCCATAACATACTATTGTGCACATAACTTGTGCAAAAATAAGCATTTATTAATCAATAATCTGCACCCGTAATTATAATTTGTGTGAAAAGTAATAAAAATTGTTGGTGTTTTACTGCCACTAGTGTTCATTCTGGAAACTGCAGTGAACTGTAGGTACAGGTTTTTTCCAGCTGATTGCAGCACAGAAGCACCGTGGCTGACAGACAGCATATGAAGTTTGGTCAGTACACTTTGCAAAAGTGACATACACTAATAATAAGCCTTACGCTTCGGAGACGCCTGTGGGCTGTCGGAGGCGATCTGTCGCATGCGGTTTCCATGGCAGCTGAGAGCCACGAGGCGCGAGATGATGGCGGTTTTGCCGTAGCCAATGCTGCCCACCAGAACCACGCCGCGATTGGTGGAAGAGTGGGCGGGGCGCAGGTAGGCGTCGACCTCCTGGAAGAGCCAATCACGGCCAGTGAACACAGTGTCCATGGTGATGCTGGGCACCTCGAACAGCAGCGGCTTCAGAGCGATGTCCTGCAGTCTGTACGGAGCGAACCGCACTGGGGTGGACAGAAAGTGCACAAAATCATCGATAAGTATGAAAAACACACAAAAACATCCTAACAAACAATCAACAGACACATACGCTCACAGAAAGACACATATCTAGGGCCCTATCAATGAGAATAATCAATATAATGAATAAAACATATAGTTAAATTACAAAAAAGTTACTAATTTGTTCATATTTTATACATTTATTTGATTAGACACTCTTTTTGATGATAAAATATCATTAGGATAGAACAGTTCTATACTTATTATAGATAACAATTGTTATATTACTGTATATTATGCATATTTTTATATATGTATATTTACATTATATTATGTGTTTTGTTATATTATTGATCTATATTATGATTCTATAACAGCAACAACATTTATTATTACTTATGATATTAACCATTAACATAATCATGCATATAAGATAGTAATATTATTTCAAATAATTTATTATATTATGTTATAATAATTCTAACTGTGATGATATTATTAATGATTATTATTCACTAGAAATACAATTATATAATCATACGTATAATATAGGTGATTTTATATATATATATATATATATATATGAAGAGTTCAGATGGAAAAGCCGTCTCTAAAATGAGTTTTTTTTTTTCTCCAGCTCATATGTTTATGTTCTGTTATTTCACTTTATTAATGAAAAGAACCTAATAAATTCAGCCTTGATGAGCAGAAGAAACTCATGATCCCAAACTTTTGACCGGCAGTGTATATATATACAATGTATAATATAATAAAATAAATAAATAATTTAAAAATTATAAAACTATTTGAAAAAAATAAAAAACTAGCAGAAATTAAATTAATTAATTAATTACAAAAATATTTTATAGGGCCCCAGATTTCCACACCTTCCACACATTCAACTCATTCATCCACATCCCGAAATACAGTACGATACAGTAATTCCAGAAGATCACAGACCACTCCTGACAGCACAGACGGGACAGAGATCGGCCTCGTCAGGAACACACACTTACGTGACTGAGACTGCCAGGCTTGGCTGTTAGCGGAGGCTGAGACACACACAGACAGGCGACAGGAGAGAGAGAGAGATCACTCCAGATCAAGCATGCAGCGAGGATAGCAGAGATCACGCCTCTGATTACTGTCTCAGCACATTCATATCACATCACCACTCTCATGATCCAAAGATCTCAAACCCAAAATATACACACTTGGCAACTGGCAAATGCAAGTAAAATAAAGCTTTTTTAAAAATGGTGAGAGTGATAGTCTGACTCGACCTCGACTTTTGTGACCAGCACAACTTCTACAGTACAAGTTTAGAATAATTACGATTTTTAAATGTTTTTAAAAGAAGTCTCTTCTGCTCACCAAGGCATTTATTTGATCAAAAATGCAGTAAAAACAGCTGTTTTCTATGTGAATATCTGTTAAGCTGTAATGTATTTCTGTGATGCGCAGCTGTATTTTCAGCATCATTACTCCAGTTTTCAGTGTCACATGATCTTCAGAAATCATAATAATATGCTGATTTGCTGCTCAACAAACATTTCTGATTATTATCAATTAGTAATGAGTGGTAAAAGAAACATCACAGTGATTTGAGCATTTGATATCATTGCTACAGTGTTAGTAAGGACTATATTATACACACAACTAAAGACACTGGATTATTGGCCGCTTCTTGAAACCGAGCGACTGGATGAGTGTGTCACGGCGCGGTACAGAAAACACACCGTGTAAACTGGGGTCTGGGTCCAAACGCAGGCTTTTATTAGACTGCAGGGGAAAAACAAAGTCAAAACAGAAAACAAACAGAGCTAAGACTCTGAGACACAGGCTTGCGACAAGGAAGGGAATCTGATGCAATACGGCCACGTAGAGCTTGCATCAGTCCACACATCACAGCTCGTA